TTTTTTTTTTTTTTTTTATTTTTTTGTTACTTCTCTTGTCACTTTTTTTTATGAAGTTATAACTAATGACTGAAATACTGATATATGAATTACAAGACAATCGTTTAATTACAAAGGACAAGATACATATTATTTTGAAATTCAGTAAACTGGCTTGAACTGCCGTATTTTTAATGAATTTGTTAACTAATTAATTTTTATTTGTGTTCTGTATATGATCTATAGGCTGGTTCCTATTTATTATTTTGATAAATCATATGTTCATAAATAAGAATGGATACTTTACTATAAATGAATGCAGGAAGTGTAATAAGTTCATTTTATGAACTTCAAAATCGTAGAAGATATTTATAATTTGTAGCTGTTGATGTGCTGACCTTGATAATCAAACATTATAAGTTCGTTTTGTTAAAATTAAGAATTATTAGGGTATGTAGTATATATAGATTGATTACAATTTATATTTAGGTATATCGAAGAATAATTACACATTTAACGTAGGAATTCTATTAATATCTAGTTTTAAAAAGAACATATAATTAATGTTTTAATAACTCCAAGTGTTTTGTTCGAGTAATTTGCCAAGTAACATTTTTTTTTATCTTGCTTCTAATAATTTATTCCTTAAATGATTTTTCTGTATTATGAATTTACAATTATGAACCTATGTACATTTAGTTTATTTTTGTTTTTTTCTTTCTTTTTTTATGATAAGTAGAATTAGCAATTATAATTTATGGAACATTTTAATTGAGATTATATAACGGTTCTCGAACAAACATTTGACAAATATTCGAACAAAATGCTTGTTCAGTTATTACATGTACCCATAATAATTGCATTATAGAAGCCATCGGCTGTGGAACGTAGATAATATGTTCTTATTAAGCCGCGTCAGATTTCATAAAATTATGCTCAACTATATATAATAAAATTAACAAAATTTCAACTAAAAGACTGATACTTTGGGGCCATTTCGATCTAAATTGAAACCATTTTAAAGAAATACATAATAACGCGTAGTATGTAGTTGTACGTTAATTATAAATTGGCGTTGAAATAGTTCTCCAAGTCGATCATCTGTAACGAAGAAATAGTTTTGTGTTTTCGCTGTAGCCCCTTTATTATATAAGAGTGAATATATGAATGTAAAGAACAGAATATTACTTTTATGTTATCAACTGCAACGTGTTAATGAACTGATAAATCAGTTACACATCTTAGGCTAATCTCAGTTGGCAATATGCAGACTCTACTCTGTTGCACTTAAATTTATGTTTGTGGTTGTGATGTCGATTTAATACCCACAAATCAGTAGAAATAACATGTTAATTATATAAAAGTACAGAAATGATAATAGGGTGAATGGAACATTAGCTTTAATTACTACAGATTATCAGTTATTAATGTTGTGGAATGAATTCAAGTGTTTAGCTGACCTACTGTATGTATTTTAAAAACACTATGAACTTTGGTCTTTTAACATACGATTTACAAAACTTCAGTGTGTTTAGAAATGTACATACAACAATAGGATTCAAATTTTAGAATGCTATACTTTCTTTTTGTAGAAAGTTCTAATGATATATAATAGTTTTATTTTTAATAATTTCTTAAATTTTTTGCTATTATGAAAGACATGGGAGTTTCCTTTAATTTTTGTGTTATTTATGTCCCTTTCTTTATTTGCAGACACTTTAGAAATGTGGGACTGATTGCATACATAGCTGTTATACATAAATATTGTTTGCGTATGTAGTGTTAAATATGTACTTAATTAAGGTATAATATATTTTATAATAAATTTTTTGACAAATTTATGATGATTCTATTAATATTTTGTTATACACAACGAGGTCCGGAGATTTTACGTGCGGCGCCTACCCCTAGGGACTCATCCACACAGCTCCCATGGGCGCGGGATTGAGATACGCTCAATCAGCGTACGTTCCGCATGTGCTACAGAACACACACAAAACTAGCAATTCGACTCATAGTACGCAAGTCCAATTTGTCACCCTTGATAGTGTCGGGACCTTTCTAAATCCCTACCGTCTCAGGAAGGGCGGCGGCCGAGCTATACGAGCGTAACTCTCCCGCCGGAGTTTCAGCCCCTTGCCTGCGATGTAAGCTCTAACCGCTATCCCCGCGAGTCCAACCCAAGCGACCGACGGACGGACGACTAAAAGCCGTCCGCCCAGGGCTCGAATCGATCTTCCGCGGTACCGGTGATCAGGGCCTTACCGGTCGTACCCTTCGTGGAAAACACCACTGCCTTATTTAGGCTGCTTGCTCAACCTCGACCTAGGCAAGGCCAACTAGGCACCGTGGGGTTGTCAATCCCATACTACGGTTGACCGAAGTCAACTATAGCCCCTGCGGGAACAGTATACACACAGTATGAAGATGAAAGATCATATTTTTAACATAAAATTTAGATTAAATAAAAAATAACTATCAAAAATTTATGAAAAAAAATTATTGCATCAATTGTTTCTATATAAATATTACACTTTATTAGCTTGTAATTTAAATTAAAATTACTAAATAAAAGAAATTTCAAATTAAAATTGATGAAGTATCGATGTTAAAATTGTTTAAAAAAATGCATTAAATTAAAAGTAGAATTTCAATACTTTTTAATACAAAATATTTATTTGATTTTAAAATTAAAAATTTTAAAAACGAAGATGATGTAATAAGAAAAAGAGATCTGTCGGTCCAGACACAAATAACAACCTTAACCTTAATAAATACGTAAGTTTAAATAATTTATTACTTCAAAATGATAATATATGATATTTATTTATTTTTGTCCAACTGGTAAGGCCGGCATTGAAATATACAGAAATTATGGAATCATGGAATCAAGTTGATAATGATTTACCACAATCTAACCTCTGTACTGTGTGTACGATTGTATAATTTCTTTGATAGTGTGTTATTAAATCTAATTTTTATTAAAGTAATTCAAAGATTTTAATAATATACCAATTTATTAAAAATATAAGAAACTGTCATTTGTCTAATCTTAACTAATAATGGCAACACTGTTAGGGATTATTCAATCGGAAGCTAATCAATTTCCGGGTTTTATTAAAATAAAATTTGAAATGTTACTTTTTACTTTTCAATGAAGATGTTTATTATTTTATTTATGTGAATTATATTTAGAAATTAGTTTCATAATGTAAGCGATCCTAGAATATACAGCGTAAACATTCAGGCGACAAGCAGCGTCTCCGACTGTTTACGCCTAAAACATTTGAACCCATCGATGGCGTGACGATCGGTCGAGGGGTGTCGAACCTTCTCGAGCCGAAGGACCTTTACCTTCAGTAAAATAAAAACCTTTGATGAAGAAAGTCTTTTGGACCACTAGCCCTATCTCCTTATCCTTCCGCTACAACAAGTTATATGTATAATGTAGTATCATAAAATTTTTATAATAGTTTTTTATGATTATAATTATTCTTAGATTCCTTTGACACTGTAATTACTGATTGTGATCGTAAGTATACTTTGATTAATGTATTTTTAGAAACTAATTAATGAAGTATGTAATAATATTAATTATATGTTTTAGGTGTACTTTGGACATGTATGAATCCTTTACCAAATGCAGCAGAAGTTATAAATACTTTTCAGTCTCTTGGTAAAAAAGTATTGTATGTAACAAATAATAGCAGAAAAACTAGAGAAGAATTTCTTAAGAAGTGCCAAGTTTTAAATTTTAAGGCTACTAAAGAAGACATTTTATGTACAGCAAATTTATCAGCTTGTTATCTACAAGATTTAGGTTTTAACAAAAAAGTTTACATTATAGGATCCAAAGGCAAGAATGATATTTTTATTATGATATGATAATATTACATATTAAACTGTATGAAAGGTATAAGAATTTGCATTACAGCAATAGCAAAAGAATTAGAAGAAGCTGGAATTTTACATGTTGGTGTAGGACCAGATCCTATTATTAAAAATAATCGAAATTATTCATTTAAGAGGGATGATGAAGTAGGTGCAGTTATAGTTGGTTTCGATGAGCATTTTAGTTATCCAAAAATGGTAAAAGCAGCCTCATATTTAAATGATCCCAATGTATATTTCATTGCCACAAATACAGATGAAAGGTTTCCTGTTGCTAACAATATTGTTATACCTGGTAGATATAATTCTAATATATTTTTTAATAACATTTTTTTGTGAATTTGTATATACTATATACATAATTTCTATATATTGTACAATTACATAAAAATTAATTTTATGCTTAATAATTATATTTTAATTAGGTACTGGAAGTATAGTACGATGTATAGAAAGTTGTGCAGAAAGAAAAGCTGTAGTAATGGGAAAACCTGAGCAATACATTACAGATGTATTAATAAAACGATTTCAAGTGAATCCTGAACGTACATTAATGATTGGAGATCGACACAATACAGATATATTGTTAGGAACTCGATGTGGTTTTAAAACACTATTAGTTTTAACAGGAATTACTAGTTTAGAAGATGTAGATAGGTGGAAACAATCATGTTGCAAACAAGAGAAAGAATTCATTCCTGACTATTACATTGAATCACTTGGTGATCTTTTACCTTATTTAAAAAAAATAAAATAAAAATTTGTAATGAGCATAGAGTAGGTGCAATAATATTTTCTATCAGAACACACTAATTTTATAGTGTGATTAAAATATTACTTAAAACGTATGTTGTTGTATTTATTGAAAATATGTATTCAGTTACTTAGTTGACAAAAATATTAATGATTTATTACCGATATTTATTTATATTTATATTACATGTAGTAGCTCGCGATCTTTCAAAAACATGAACCTAACATCTAATCTTTTTTTCAATGGAAATATAATTTTTCGAAAATTATACGGTTATGCTATATCAAATTCTATTAAAGAATTAAAATATATAATTAATTTCATTTTGTAAATATTTAATTTTTCTTAAAAGAAAAAATCGCATGTTCCATATTATTTTCTGTGAAACATATTTTGGAAATATTAGTAAATAAAATTGAATAGAAAAATTGTTACAAATAATAAAATGTATAAAGAAAATTATTTCGTTCCTTTTAGTACTGACTTAGTGCAATCATGACCAATTGTATATATTGGTAGTTGTGAATGAAATAGGAACAATTTATATCCCTATATTATGTAACAAGCACGCAAGGTCACGTTGCAAATGCGTGCTGTCAGATCTAGGCATACACTGTTTAATATCCCGCCGTTAGTTACAACGATTAATTCATAAAGTGCACTTTGTCTAGGTAGTAAAAATCTTCATATCAGTTTGAGTAGTCGCATTTACAGGTTGTGTTGCACAATGACAATAAAGCATATATTATCGTTATCAAATGCAGAATTTAAGAAATTTATGGACTCCATTGATGTAGTTTTATCAGATTGCGACGGTGAGTGATTATTGTAAGACAATTTTCCTAAATAATCTTGAAAAATAAAAGTGTGTACTATATATTATTTCGATGTTATATTTTTGATATTAATGTTATTTAATAATTAAAAGATAATGATAGACAAATACTTTAATGTCCTATACTATAAATGATATTTTAATATGCCTAAACCTTAGGTGTATTATGGAGAGAAACCGAGGTAATAAAGAATTCACCTGAAACAGTAAATAAATTCAAAGAACTGGGTAAAAAATTTTTTTATATAACAAACAACAATACCAAAACTAGATCTGAATTTATAGAAAAATGTGGACATCTTAAATATGATGCAACAATAGTAAGTAAAATACATGCTGTAATATTTGGGATTAAATACAATATTATGTAAGATATTGTCTTAAATTTTTTTTACAGGATGAAATAGTGTGTACTTCATTTTTGAGTGCTATGTATCTGAAGGAAAAAAAATTTGATAAAAAAGTATATATAGTTGGAAGTGTTGGTATTAGCAAGGAACTTGAAGCTGAAGGTATCAAACATTGTGGTGTGGGAGTGAGTTTTTCTAATTAAAATACATGTAATTAGTTATTAAATTTGAATATATATTAGTAATGTAACTATTATTTTTCTATTATAGCCAGATATAATGGAAGGTGACGAAGTAGAACTGGTAAAACAGTTTAAACCAGATCCAGAAGTTGGAGCAGTTATCGTAGGCTTTGATAAATATTTTAGTTTTCCTAAGCTTGTAAAAGCTGCTACCTATTTACAGGATCCAAATGTTCATTTTATAGGAACAAACTGTGATACAGAAAGACCTTCCCCAAATGCTAACACATTTCCAGGTTCTTAAACTATTTATTATAATTTATTATGAATACATTTATTCCAAATATTTTTCGAAAATTTAAGTATAAGTTTTAATTATGCAGGAACTGGCTGTTTTATAAGAACCATAGAAACAGCATGCAATAGATCAGCAATAATGCTTGGAAAACCAGAATCTTTTGTGAGTGAATACATTACGAAGAAATATGGTTTAAATCCACAAAGGACACTCATGATTGGAGACAAGTAAATATAATTTATGATAATAATCTATAATAATAGTTTATGACATGTTTCAAACAATTATTTTATTTTAGTTGTAATACCGACATTCTCCTCGGAAAACGATGTGGATTTAAAACTCTTCTCGTATTAACGGGTATTACAACACAGAATGATATACATGCCATGAATACTTCTGCTGCAAATTCCAAAGATTTGGTAATTCCAGATTATTATGCAAACGAATTAGGTGATGTACTAAAAATGATTCCATCACTTTGATGATTTTATTATTTCCAAAAATCGAATACTTCTAGCACAATTCAATAATTTATATAAATGTGAATCATTATTGTACAATTTTTATTTATATTTTCCCGACTTTCCTATTATTTCCATTATTAATGTATTAATAGATTTAGTACAATATGCGGAAAATATTTAAATGTTGATAATAAGTTTCAGAAGTTCCTTTTTTTCGAAAGAAATGCATGTGTAAGAGTATGCAGTGTTACATGCAAATGTAGAGCGTTATAGACAGTTAGTATTTTAATCCGAATATAAGTTGACAACGATGATAGCACAAATATGTAAAGAATTTTAATTAAATGTGTAAAAAATATTATTTTTTTTATTGTTATTGTTTTCTATTATCATAAGTGTTTCTTAAAGAAACTGTAAATTTGCCAAAGGATAATATTATACAAAAATCATATGTCCGCCGATAGAACTATCGTTTAATATATTATTGTATGCCTATTTAGTATAGTAAGTATTTTTGTAACATTTTAAAGATTGCATATTAGGTAGATACAGTGGGAATTATACAAACTAAAATGTGTAATCCTATATTTAATTTAATAATAAGAATATAGTTGACATAATTGTTTGTTGATGTACATATGTAACAACAATAATAAATGTTAAAAGTATATAATGTCATGTACCTCTTATATAAATAAAATAATTTCAAACAGATTGTTTGAAAGTAGTTTATTTTATAGAAATACAGAGCAGTATACCCTTTTTATCAGAATTTTTAAAAATATAACACACATTATATATTGTTACAAAATGTAGTACGTGAACAAGTTGCTTTTTAACAACATATTTGTAAATTCACGGTTAAAAACGTACCGGAGCAATCTAAAGCAAATAAACTAAATAAATTCGTAAAATTTGTTAGAAACGCGAATTTTAGCTTATTAGGTGAGTATGGGGTATAGGATCCCCTTGGTTAATATCATTTTTAGCCTCTATTCGCCTTTTCTAATCTTAAAAAGTAGTTTTAAACACTTATATGTTAGAAACAACTTTTATGATGAAGTAAATGGCTTTTTCTACATCGGAAAATGATTGTACATATGAGCCGTTCACTGCAAAAATCGATTAACTCCACTTTTTGAAAAATCTTAAATTTAAATGTCAAAACACTTGGTATAGTCATAACTACATTATATCATTGCATTTCTCCACTTTTTGTTTTATGGAGTTAATCAATTTGTGTAGTGAACAGCTCATATGTAAATTACTCTACATATTGTTATTGTAAATTATACGAAGCATATATTTGCAATAAACTATGTAATAACTATTATAAAACGTTGGCGAATCTTTGAAAAATCGGTTGAATTCGTGAACTTGGTTTACAGCCTCATCATACTCGATCGTTATGATATAAACATCACCGTAACCGCGTAAACAAATTTAAATGAAATAAAAACAACGCTATTTAAAAAATATTGGTAAATTTAAAAAACAATTACTTTAACAATCGTTCCTAAACAAATTATCCTATTCCTACACATAATGGTACTATTAATTATTTATCAATAACTTTATTAGTTATTTATTTAATTTATTTATTCATGTTTAACACTTAATAATTTGTTATATTTATTTATTTTTTATTTGTAACTATTCATTTAATAACTTTATTCTATTTTCATTTTTGATTACTTCTTCAATACTCGAATAAATATTTCACGTTTTAGTTTCTTAATTTTATTGGTGTTAGTGGACATTAAATATTTTTATAATTATTAACACATCGTTGACCGGTGACGAGTTAACTCGTCATTGCACTTGCATTATCTATTTCAATTTATGAAACCCAGGACGATGTAGAATATTGCGTGTGAAAGTGATTTTGAAGATTGAATTACAAAATAATAGCCGGTCACATGACATAGTTTCTGTGTAAAATTGCCGGTCAACAAAGTGTTAAATTATTACCGTATTCCTACTAAATTATATACGTTCGAACGATTTTATGATTTTACGATTCCTCTGGTTACTTGTCATATCGCAGGACGAATGGTCTGAAACGGCGAGGGTGACTGGTTGTGTTTAATTATTTTCGTACCGAGCATTGTAATTAGCATAGTAATTAAATATCGTGCAATATATATTTCTGTGATATATTTGTTGGATCAAGCTAGGGCTTTCTTGTACATCGCATATTAGGATCTCAATGGAAAAATTTCCAATTTACGTAAACTACGGTGGAAAAATTTCCAATTTATGGAACGTAAGAGTACAGGAACTATATATTCCTTGTTTCTCATAGGCCTGTCCTACTCCTTTAGGTAAATTTATTTTAAAATGGCACCATTGTCTTCCACCAAAGTAGCTTTTTCCTAAATTTTAAATCGATCGCGTAAAAATATATTTTCGACTCCGCCCTTATCATGCCAACTGTAAACAATTGTGAATTTTTGAAAATGTAGGAAGAACTCAGTATATATTCGACACCCATCACCTAAAGATATTTTTATAAATATTGTAAAACGCGTGTCGGAAACGAAATTTCGACCACGAATGTGGTCTCAAGAATTCGTAGAAACAGGGTGCGCAGAATACGAAAATGTTAGTTTTCTTCTTTACCTCCCTATTTTCAATGTTTGTTGAACAAAAATTTCTCAATATTCGTGGATATGCCATGAATGCACGTATTACCTCGAGAATTTCACATCTTCCTCAGAACAGATCTAAATAGGCATACATCTTTTGAGAGAAAAGGATATAAACTTCGATGAACGCTAATTTAATTGATATATATGCTTAAATTATGCCTACATGAGATGTGATACAAGAAGAAGGCTAATCGATCAGTCTTGTCTAACCTATTACGTGAAAATCTACGACAGGATCACAGCCAATTAGCTCATATTACTTGCAATATAATTCATAAGTGTATCATGGTTGTTAGTTATACATGATATAACTATAGTGATACAATGAGGAATTATATGTCAAATAATACCGATTGCCCAGGTCTCACCACGAGGAGGTGCTGTGAATGGAGACCCACCCTAACCACGTCCCAACCACCCACCTTTTGCGAAAAATTTACTAATATTCAAATAAATTTCATATTTGATGCACGTTTGCAAAACGTTCAATATTTGATCGCTGTGTAAATCAAACATCAAAAAGAATTTAAACAAAAAACCGACGCGGAAGACTAAATCTAGAGGTAAAAGATAAATTAAACCTGGAAGTAAAATATAAATTAAACCTAGAAATAAAAGATACGTTAAACCTAGAAGTAAAAGATAAATTAAACCTGGAAACAGAAGAGAAATTAAACATAGAAGAAAGACATAAATTATGTGAGATGATATTATTCTACAATTTCTCAATATTAGCCTGAAAATGTAGAATAGTTGGCAATTAAATAATTAAAAAAAGCAAAGAAAAATGAAATATCTCCCAAAGCATTAAATATATTCTACTTACTTAATACTACCCAAGACTACTTAATACTACCCACTTCATGCAACCCAATACTACTCAATACTACTTAATATTATTCACTACTATAAAATTTTACTTAACTTATAGACTAATGTGTCAGCAACGATTGTAACTTACAATTAACTTAATCATAATCCTAACTTGTCATAAAAACATATAACCATAAATTCTCATTCATTTCAGAATAAAAAACCAACAAACCAACAAAGATATTGAAAGATAAGAAGTACACGGGAAAATAAATGTGACTTCCAGCCTCCAAAAATCGAAAGAATCTAAAATAAAAATAATCAGCCCTACTTATATCGAAATTAAAGATATTTTAAAGTACCAAGCATAGGGAGATTAAGGATATTTTTCACACTATCCTATCAAAAATCAGATGAATTTTTATAAAATCTCTACCTATCACAAATCTAGAGAGAATTTCAAACATCCTAAATACACAAGAAACCAAGGATTTGATCACGAAAATCTGAATATTAAAGAGACACTGTGTGGAGATTGAAACCACTCATACTGTTTCCGTTGGCACCATAAAGTTTCCTGAATACAAGACGCTGTAGAAAAAATAGTAAAATTATTGTAAATAATAATCTATATGATTACAAATAAAAATTGTGGAAATGATAATAAATAAATAAATGAGGCTCATACATCACTTTCCATTATGTCATTTCCCTCCATGAACGTTATTTCAATTCTGAGCCTCTGACATACTTACATAAGTTCATATATTTGAAATGATGTTGAACATGCTGATATGAAAGCGTTCTAAATTAATAAACCTGAAACAAACTTAATTACTGGATTAATAGTTGGGGAAACGGAACAAAACAATGACTCCTGAAAGAAGACATGCCACATATTAACAAGAATTTCAATAACAGTCAAAAATATTTTGTCAAAAACTTGAAATTGAAATAATCACACTTTTACTGCACCTCATTTGCATGTATTTGTATAAACAAAAATCAATAATTTACCACAATGAAAAAAGAAAAAAGAAAAGTATAACTTTATTATATCCACGAAGAGTCGAATTAGACACACAAAATGATTATTATGCGAAACTTTATCTTGCAAAATAAATGAGTATCGCGAGTGATTGCAAAAAAGATAAAATGAAAAGATAGAAAGGAATGGAAAAGAGACAAATACATATTACAGCAGTACTTTCATCAACAACAATTTCAGTAAAAAAGGGTGCTGGAAAAGAAAATACAATGGTAGCCAAAATAGCCACAAAAATAAATATTTCCACTCGATATGAACCCGCGAAAGAAACCGTGAGTGGAATAAATAAATTGTAATTTCGCAACACTAACTTACTAAATTGTCTGATAACGGACAATTTTCAAAATCAACCGCAAGGAGTGCTTCCTGATATTTAAAATAATAATTAATTTAGCATTTACAAAAAAAAGAACACTATAAAGAAAAATAAACAAAAAAGGCAGAGAACCCGCGAAAATGATCATAATAATATAATTCAATTATTAACGCAACACTAATAAATGAAAATTTATGCACTCGCATCAAAAAAGTTCGCAACA